TTTTTCTTTTTTTTCCTTAAGATCTGGCCTAAAATACATCTCCTGCTAAAAATCTTTCCACTCGGGCGCCTGGGTGGCTCAGTCGGTTAAGCGACTGCCTTCGGCTCAGGTCATGATCCTGGAGTCCCGGGATCGAGTTCCGCATCGGGCTCCCTGCTCAGCAGGGAGTCTGCTTCTCCCTCTGACCCTTCCCACTCTCATGTGCTCTCTCTCATTCTCTCTCAAATAAATAAATAAAAAATCTTTAAAAAAAAAAATCTTTCCACTCATCTTTCAATGTTTAGTTCTAGATGGAATTAAATGGAAATGTTCAAGCCCAGTGTAACTCCCGATAATACTTGCCCTCCCTTGCATTGTGGACACTTATCTCTATGCCATTCTTTCTCACAAAGCCCCACAAGCTTCCTCTAAAATGCAATTAGTAACCATTCGGTGTGTGTGATACACTGCATTAATGTTCCAGACAATTCCTGTCCCCACGGAGACAGGATTATGCATCCCTGACCTACTGGCATCAAGCTTGGCAATATAATTTGCTTTGGCCAATGGAATGAGGGGATGTGACTTGCGCCACCTTGAGCAGAGGGTCTAAGCATTGCCACGTCATCCTGCCATGTTCCTTTTCCCTTAGCCACGTGAGCAGCACGTCTCATAGAGAAGTTGCTTTTTCAGCCTGGCTCTCAAAATGAAGAGGAAATGGGGCAGAGTTAGTCCTTAAAGTCCATGTACCTGAGTGAGAGATAAACCTTGGTTTTAAGCCTCGGATGCAGCTTGTTACTGCAACATAATTTAGCCTAATCTTAGTGATTAAGTGTGTAATAGATACAGGTTTTATAATGGTGGCTTTACACGAGGTGTCCCATTCTGTCCTCCAACAAGCCTGCTGGGTTAGTTTTCCTTTCTCCATTCTACTGACAGATAATACTCAAACTCAAAAGAACTTACTCAAATTCTGAAAGTTAAGAGGTGACAGGATAGATGAACTCAGGTCTTCTGCAACAAATTCACAGCTCTTTCCACTCTACCATGCGTTAAGGGTTGAATTGTGTTCCCGCAAAACATGTTGACACTCTATCCCATAGTACCTGTGACTGTGACCCTATTTGGAACCAAGGTCTTTGCTGATGTATTCAAGTTAAAATGAAGTCATTAGGATGGGCCCTAATCCAATATAACTGGTGTCCTTGTAAGAAGAGAAGAGACACAGGGCGCCTGGGTGGCTCAGTTGGTTGGGCAACTGCCTTCGGCTCAGGTCATGATCCTGGAGTCCCGGGATCGAGTCCCGCATCGGGCTCCCTGCTCAGCAGGGGGTCTGCTTCTCCCTCTGACCCTCCCCCCTCTCATGCTCTCTCTATCTCAGTCTCTCTCTCAAATAAATAAATAAAATCTTAAAAAAAAAAAAAAAGAAGAGAAGAGACACAGAGATACACAGGGAGAACACCATGAGACAACAGAGGCAGAGACTAGAGTAAGACATCAATGCATCTACAGGCCAGGGAATACCAAGGATCGCTGGCAACACCAGAAGCTAAGAGAAAATCATGAAAGAGATTCTCCCGTAGAGTTTCCCAAGAGAGCGTGGCTCTGCCAACACCTTGATTTCCAATCACCAGCTTCCAGAACTCCAAGGTCAAGGTGCCAGCAGGTTTCGTTTCTGGTGAGGCCTCTCTCCTTGGCTTGCGGATGGTGCCTTCTCACCGTTTCCTCACATGGCCTTTTCTCTGAGTACATTTATTCTTGGTGTCTCTTCCTCTTTTGAAAGGCCAGCAGTCAGATTGGATTGGGCCCTCTCTAACAGCCTCACTTCAACTTACTCACCTCTTTAAAGACTGTATCTTTACAGTCTTTACTGTATACATTACATTCTGAGCTACTAAGGGTTGGGACTTCAATACATAAATTTTGGAGGGAACCAATTCAGCCCTTTTCGTTCATCTTAGAATATCAGTAGGTATCTGATCTGTCTCTCCTTCTCAACTTGATTGTGGGCTCCCCGTATGAAAGACCCTGTTTTAAGATTCTGTGTATCCCCAGCAATCAGTTGTTTGATGGATCTTCTTGATCACTTTTGAGATTTTGTTCACATTTGTCCTGATGTCAATATATATTTTGAAGGAGAAAAAAAAATCAGCTGCAGGGGCTTCATGTCAGTGACTGGGCTAGATGATTTCCCAGGTTCCTTATGCATCCTGTGACTGTTCATTCCCCATCACTGTCCATGTGGCTTCCCCAAAAAATTCTCCTCTCTAGAATTTCAGTCATTTGTTTCGTTTCTTATATTTAGGCCTCCCAAGAGTTGCCAGTCCTAACATTTTCTAATTCCCTATGCACTGTTCATTTTCATGTCTGCATCTGGCAGCACCTGAGATCCTGGCCTGACTTGTGACCTGGAAACTGAGGGAACAGGCTCAGGGCAGTGCACTGGGCTGCCCGAAGTTGTCCAGCACCATCCTGACCCCGAGAGGACTCCAGCCAAGTTTTTCCAGTTCCAAGGCCAATAACCTAGTATTCCTCATTATGCAAAGATAAGAACACCAAAGGCTTTATGTCTTGTGAGCAGTAATTCATGTAATGAAGTGAGATCATAGTCTCTCTTAGGGATTCCAATGACCCTTATAACAGTATATCTTTTAGTACCAAAAGGATCCAGCATGCTTCCTTTGTCGATTCATAAAATGCTCAAATGCTCAAACCATATGTTTAAGTACAATTCCCAACGGATATATCCTTCCTTAAATGAAAACAGAGGAATTTTTCAACATCAAGTGGAAAACTAAGCATGGCTATTGGGAGGAATAGTCTAAATGTAGCCCTGAGTCAGTTCCAGGGCAGTGGAGATGATACCACCTTCATGGTCTAGCACCTCCTGGCCCCCAGTCCTGCTCTAAGCCATACTTTCACTCAGTAGGTATGAGACAAACCCAAAGACATGTGCACATGAACATGAGCCATTCTGTGTACAATATTGTTTCCATGGGGAGCCTGGGTAGCGCAGTCGGTTAAGGCATCCAACTCTTGGTTTCAGCTCAGGTGGTAATCTCAGGGTCATGAGATCAAGTCCCATGTGGGGCTCTGCACTCAGTGAGGAGTCTGCTTGAGATTCTCTCTCCTTTTCCCTCTGCCCCTCCCGCTCGTGCTCTCTCTCTCTCTCTCTCTCTCTCTCAAATAAATAAATCTTTAAAGAAATATTGCTTCTATAAAAGAGAGAAAGCCAACGTAAGTAAGGCTTTCAAATAATACATCTTACCATCTAAAAATATTCAGGCAGAATGCCTATGGAGCTCTTATGGCTTCCTCAGGCTAGCCTCAGTTTGACCATGAAGGCGAGATCATTGCCAGACACTCATGGGCTCTGCCTGTCCCCCATGGAAAGGGCTCTTCCGTCATGAGTGGACAAGTGAAAACACCCCTAGCCTGAGAAGAAAGTGTGGTCACCGCGTGACTGATGCTTTGTGCCATTTATTCCTTGTGCCAATATCAGGAATGTGGGTCTGACAATCAAAAGGCCATGCCACTGGCTTGGTTTCTCTGTGGAGGCTGTCATGGTCCCCTTTTACTCACTGGAGCCCTGCTTTCTAAAATGGATTTTGTTCATTTTTCCACTGGGAATGGAGAAAACTGCACGTGGCACTTTATGAATTGGGTCTCCCAGCCAAAGCTCTGAAAGACAACTGGAGTGGGGGTGGTCTGCGGGTGCGAAACTCCATGGGACAGAACTGAAGTCAGGCTGTGACACACAATAACATCTATGTGTGACCCAGCAGCCTGCGAACCAGCTCCCTGCAAGGGGAGAAGCATGCCAAGTGAGGACGAGAGGACTTTTGTTCATCCTCTTTATCTTACAGAGGTTGCTTGTTTGTCTGTTGGGGGAAATTAAAAAATAAACAAGTAAATTCTCTGCCTTTGTGCCGTCTGGATTTTTTTTTCTCCCCATGCTCTCATTTCTAATTCTCTAAAGTATCTCCCCCACCTTAATTTTATGACATTTTTATGTACGCATGCAACCAGTACCCATGCATGAAGTCAGAGATATCAATTTGTCTTTCTAGACTCCTTCGGGTTTGCCTCTGTGTGGAGATCCATAATGAGATCCAAGAGTTCTCATCCTCTTCCTGTTAACATAATTTATAGAGTTTTCCCTGTGCTCGGAGCACGTAGCTAAGTCCTGCATAAGCAGCAATAACAGTGCATTCTTAACAGCCTCCCTGGACAGTTTGCTAAATTCTTTCTGAGAGCCTCTTGCTGGCCCTTGCAAAGGTTAGCTAAAAAACAAACTGGAAGCTAGGAATCCAACTGTGAGAGCAGAAAGTATGTTCTATAGCACAGAGAGAGGACTGAATTTCTGGAATCACATTTGGCGTTCTGGCGATCCCTGATGAAGATCATTTTTAGGCAAAAATCAGCTTCCCAAACCCAAGCATGCTCTGGGTTGGCTAGGGTTTTGTTTTGTTTTGTTTTAACAGATACTAAAAGTTAAAGATGGGAATCTGAACTACAAAACAATTTTTTTTTCTTCTCCATGTCATTTTACTTGGCCCAAGAAGGCAAAAGAAGGACAAGTGGCATTGCTAAGTGATACTTCAGGATATGACCTACAAATTCTCTCCACGCAATCCAGGAATCCCATTCGTAATTTTCATAGTCTAGCATATTGATAAACAAGCCTGTACACTTCGTGTACAAATACACGAAGGCCTGTTGACTTTTTAGCTTGAACTTAGAAAGTACGGAGTTAACTAGAATTTTTATTTGTGAAACAAATAACGACTTTCAACATCATCTATTCGTGTAGTTCTCTGTTCTCCTCACCAAAACAGGTCCTTGAGATAACTTTTGGAGAACAACACTACTGTGAAAAAGAAGTCTCAGCCAAGAACTTTGGTGTCCCAAAGGGCTAGGGAAACCTGAATGTTTAAATCAGACTTCAGTGCCAGGAGCTGTTCCTGTTGGACTCCAGTCCCCCCGCCCCCACCCCACCCAGAAGAGGACACAGTACTCACCAGTCATTAGGGTGTAGTAATTGGGGTAAGAGAGACTGGGAAAGTCGGGGGTCAAGTAATCCACTTTTACTCCCCTGCTCACGATCTCTTTGAAACCAGGCAAGGACTCCAGGGCCTCATCACTGATGTAGTCTGAGCGAAAACCATCCAGCAGAAACACCAGAAGCTTCCGGCCGGCAGTGGCTGGCTGCACCAGGCTGAGCGCAAGCACCAGCAGGAGGGCCCTGAGCTTCACTGCCATAGTGCCAGGAGCCCGCCCGCCCGGCTGTGCCAGCCCTCCTCTTGCAAAGACTGAGGATGGAGAATCTGGAGCTATTCTCTCTTCTAGGGGCTGGACCTTGACTGCTGGCCTTCCTGAGCCAAGTTCACTTGCAGAATTTAAAGGTACAGCACCCCCTTTTAAAAACATCTATGCTCATCCTTTACTAGAAAGTCCGGAGACCAACTCCTTCGGAGAAGCCGGGTCCCCACACAACCCAGAATCAACACCAGGGGAGACAGGGCGACCTTATTATTTTGGGTGAGTGTTCCAGAAACACAGGCACCCACAGAGAGGTAGAATTTTAGAAGATGCCGGAAGCCCACGCTAACTTTGCAGTTGGGCTAACCGAAGGGTGGGGCCCAAGAAAAGGACAATCCTAATTTGCTGCTATCCCACGCCTCTGCCTAATTTAAACTCTCTGACTGACTTTTCCGCTTACAATTTAGTAACACGAACCTCTTCATCCAGGATAGAAACAAGAGATGATAAAATTAGGTGGGCACATTTGTGAACTTTTCAGCGATGTCTCTGTCACCATCACATTTAAAAACAAATTACTTGTCTAAGTCTTAGCCACTTATTTTTTTTCCCTCTGCGTCTATCTACAGTGTTTATTGTCCTGTTTTTCAGATGTCCAAACCCATCTGCAGGAGGAGGTGGCTCTCACCCTTTGGGGCAGGGGCGGCCTGGGCTCACGTGGGGAAAGGTTAAGGACTCCCGAATTTTAAGGATGAGCATACGTGGGGTATCCACTTTCCTCTGCTTCACTCCTCAGCTCCCTCAGCTCCCTGAGCAGATTACAACTCCCTGAGTCCACAGGTCCTCAGAGCCTCGCAAGGCATCACTGGCATCTGCCGGGACATGTCCGGGTGGGGACACTGGTGATGTGGCCTATCTTGGCTTATGGTGATCTTATTGCTTTATGATCATGTGTAGACAGTCTCTCTAAAGTTTTGGGTCAATAACTTATTGTAAACAAGCCCCTTTAATATACACACCAACATACGAGAAAAGAAAGAAACGTATAGGATGGAATTCTAACCAAATCCCAGCATTGCCTACGGTAAGAGTCCCTCTAATCTTTTACCTTCTGGCCTGGGAAAGGTTGGAAATAAAAAAGCTAGAAGACAAGGGATCAGAAAATGTGGTTAATATTAACTGCCCCAGGTCTTGTGGTCCAAAGTCTATGTGTTTGTTATCTGGAGGATCTTGTTTGGGTGTGATTATCAGCACCTAATACTTCAGAATGAGTGCTTCTTGCTACTTGTGTTTCAAAGGTTGACAATGCTATAAGGTCATTTGTCACAGCGGTTTAACCCAGGCAATGCAGAAAAACAGAAAACTTCCTCCAGGATCTGGAATCACCTTTGTGTTGAAAGCTGTTCCAGCTCTTGCTAGTGACACGCATGAGCTCTCAGGAGTGTGCTGCCCTGATCTGTCAGCACACTGGGGCCTCGCCTCCCTGGAAAGGAAGATGACGTGGAAGAAAAGAACCCAAGGCTTGCAGAAAGATGACAGGATTCCATGGCCTGGCTTCTGGCATTATGCAACTGTGTGATTCTGAGAAAGTTGCCTTTCCATGCGTCAGTTTTCTCCTCTGAAAAGCGACAGAAGCTTCCAGGTCCTTCCCAGCTAAGGACCTGGATAGTCATTTTTCCAAAGAAGACATCCAGATGGCCAACAGGTGTATAAAAAGATGCTCAATGCCACTCATCGTCAGGGAAATGCAAATCAAAACCACATTGAGCTATCACCTCACACCTATCAGAATGGCTAGCCTCAGAAAGATGAAAAATAACAAGCGTTGGTGAGGATATGGAGAAGGAAATAAAATCACTTTCCCAAGAGTTAGCTGCACCCCCGTGTTTATTGCAGTATTATTCACAATAACCAATAGATGGAAACAACCTAAGTGCCCATCGATGAATGAAAGGAGAAAGAAGACGTGGTGTATATTTATATATAATAGGATATTATTTAGCCATGAGGAAGAAGGAAATCCTGCCACTTGCAACAATATGGATGCACCCTGAGGGCATTTTGCTAAGCAAAGTAAGTCAGACAGAGAAAGACAGATACCTGTATGTTCTCACTTGTGTGTGGAATCTAAAAAAAAAAAACCCAAAATCATAGAAACAGAGAGTAGAACAGTGGTAGCTGGGGGTTGAGGGGTGGGGGAAATGGGGAGATGTTGGATACAAACTGCCAGTTATGAGATGTATAAGTTCCAGGATCTAATGTACAGCATGGTTACTATATTTAATCATATACTTGAAAGTTGTTAAGAGAGTAGATCTTCAATGTTATCCCCACACACAAAAAAACCCCAAACAGTAATTATGTAACGTGATGGAAGTGTTAACTAACCTTATTGGGGTAATCATTTTGTAATATATCTATGTGCATTGAATCAAAGAGAGAGAGAGAGAGAGAGAGAGCGCTCTGGCAAGTTAAAGGTGAAAAGGAGTCCAAGGTGGTATTAGAGAAAGGGCATACAATAATCATTCTATTTGTTCCCACCAGAAAAGTAGTCTTTGTGCACTTTTTAAATGAAAAAGGTCTCCAAGAACAGACTCTCTCTCTAAAAGGCAGCTGACTAAGCAGGAGGACACGAATACTAAGTGGAGTATCTAGAAACTCTTAGCCTGACTCCTCATCTCACGTTTTGGCACGACCTTGCAGTCTCAAGGTCAGGGGCAGGGATCCTCTCTTGACTACCGTCAGCAGCTCCCGAGTGAGAACCACTGTTAGCCTTCGGACCTGGCCCCAGACTCATGCCTACCATGGTGGACCCTCTCCAGAGTACAGATAAGGGCTGAACCTACCCCACCAAAATCCGAGTCAATTAGACTGAGTTAACCTACGGCTTTCAAAGTTCCTCATTTGATTCCGGTCAAAAGCCAGGCTCGGAAAACACCACTGACAGTGCCCAAGCAGCCGCGGACAAAACTGAGCATGGTCGGGTCATCATCAGAGTTTGCATGTTAGAAAACAGGCTCTGGAGGTCGTGTGGGACAGTAACAGTGTTGGTGCAAGCAAGGATGACAATACCCGCCTTCCTTGGTATTAAGAACTTAAATGCAATCATTCATTTAGACCTTCTGATAGTTTTATTAGGTGGGTATTTAGACCTCTGTGATACAAAGGAAATGGAAGGCTCAGAGAAGCCTAACGCCAAATAGCCCAAAGTGTCAGGATGGAAATTCAAGCTCAGGTGTCTTTTAGAGTCCCATATTTTGGGGGGGAATACATTCAATTTTTGCAATTAGGAAGAGGAATCAAAGCCTGTGTAAAAGAAAAAAAAGAATAAATCCTAAGTATCTTTCATTGATCTTGATTGAAGTGAGGGGGGAAGTAGAAAATCACCATTAGGACACTACACACATAACTGTCACAGGCAACAGCCACCAATGGAGGCTAAGCTTAGTGGAATTAAGTAAGGAAGTGATCTGGGGCGCCTGGGTGGCTCAGTTGTTAAGCGTCTGCCTTCGGCTCAGGTCATGGTCCCAGGGTCCTGGGATCGAGCCCCGCATCGGGCTCCCTGCTCGGCGGGAAGCCTGCTTCTCCCTCTCCCACTCCCCCTGCCTGTGTTCCTGCTCTCGCTGTGTCTCTCTCTGTCAAATAAATAAATAAAATCCTTAAAAAAAAAGTAAGGAAGTGATCAAAAGAACAAAAGGACAGGGCGTGTCAAAGGAACATGGGAGCCAACCTGAAAGGGCTCCCAGTGGCCAAAGCCAGAACAATCTGAATCACTAACTAAGCAATGCAATATTGGCATATTGACCCAAAGTACAAAATAACTATGCAAGTCCATATTGTATAAATGAATAATTGAATAAACAAATAAATAGGGGAGAAGTGACAAATATTCCTTACAGAAGAAATCCAAACAATACCTATTGATACCCTCACTCCAGGACTTGGAACTTGATCCCTACTTCTTCCCCATCAAGGTTAGGCCTGACCTAGAGACTCACTTCCAAAGGTCAGAGTAGAGAAAGGGAAAAGTAACTTTGCAGTGGAGAAATCTGGCAAACCCAGCATTATCCGAGTGATGGAGGTTAATATCACCAGTGATGTCATGGGGACATCATGTACCCCTGCCATCTCATATGATGAGACAGGCACTTGGCTCTGCGAGGTGTTCTTTCCAAAAATCCATAACCCCAATCTAATCGTGAGCAAAACACCAGACAAACCCAGATTGGGGGATTGTCTGCAGGATAACTATCATGTACTCCTTAAGAACATCAAGGTCATGAAAAGCAAGGGAAGACCAAGACACGGGTCACAAAACAGAGGTAGTTGAGGCAACGTGACAACTAACTGCAGTACAACCTAGGACCCTGGATGGGACCCTGGAACAGAAAGAGACATTAAGGGAAATTGGTACATCCAAATAAAGTCGTTTAGTTAATGCTTCTGTACCAACGTTAGGTTTGATATCTGTACTGTGGATACATAACAATGCTAACCTTAGGCGAAGTTAGGTGAAGGGCTTATGGGAACATTCTACGTTATTTTTGCAACTTTTCAGTAAGTCTAAAATTTTTTCAAAATAAAAAGTTAAAAAAATTAAATTGAAACGAGAAGTCTGATCATCAATAACAGGAATCTTGGGAAGATAAAAATGCTTTTGAGAACACAAAACAATGGAGTCCCAACTGCCCTTCGTTTGGGAGCTGGGAGTGAAAGTTACCGCAAAGACATGCATACTGACTCTGCATCTTGTCAGGGGTAACACTTCTAAGGCTTCATACTGAAACAGGCAAAAAGGTTTTCCATAGCATCACAAAATTTGTTTTAGTGGTTCCAAAAAGAGGAAGCTTATAACCCTGTGACCAAAAAGTGTGCCAAAAAAAATAATGGTTCTGCACCCCACTCGTGTGCGGACCCTGGTACTACACCCCCACTGATCCCTAGAGGACCTCTCACACACCTGTTTGTACAAGGATCTAGGTCCACGGGTGTTTACCGCAGCAGTATCTAATGGTAAAAAAAAAATTAGAAACAATCTAAACATCCATTAGTGAGAGCATGAA